GCGACAACCCACAGGGATGAGAAGGAGGTTGTGGGGGACCAACTGATTGCAATTCGGATGATTGTGATGGTGTCGATGCTGTGGATGCGCTCGCGAGCTGGTGACGATTCATTATGACGATGCTGGTGACGATGCATGATGGCGCTTGTTATGGTGTCGATGCATGGCGACGATATGACGTGCCATCGAAACATTGAAACACCATCGGGAGGAGCAACTGAAGAAACAGCGGGGGGCAAATACATTACACCATCGAGGCACCATCGGGACACCATCAGGACAACATGTAAAATCCATCTGGACACCACCATGGAAATAGGTGTATCGGTCTCATTGTTGATCCCACTATCGGTAATTCTATCAAGCAAAATGCCTCACTATCAATCGGTCGCACCATCCATATCACGATCGATCTCACTATCTATCTATCGATATCACTGTCGATCGGTCTCACCATCCAACGGTCTCACTATGTATCTATGTATCGATCTCACGGGACAGCCATCTGGACTCTCTTCGGGGCACCGCCATCTGGACACCATCGGGACACCATGTGCCACCACGGGACACTTGTCGATCTCACTATCGATCTCATTATCGATCTCACTCAACGGGACACCACGGAACACCACGGGCCACCACGGGCCACCATGGGACACCACGGGACACCGCGGGACTCCTCTCGATCTCACTATCGATCTCACTCAACGGGACACCACAGGACACCACGGGACACCTCTGGACACCACATCGATCTCACTATCGATCTCACTATAGATCTCACTATCGATCTCACTCAACGGGACACCACGGGATACCACGGGCCACCACGAGACACATGTCGATGTCACTATTGATCTCACTATCGATCTCACTTTTTGGGACACCACAGGGCACCATGGGACACCTCGGGGCACCACATCGATCTCAGTATCGATCGCACTATCGATCTCACTATCGATCTCACTCAACAGGACACCACGGGACACCACGTAACACTTGTCGATCTCACTATGGATCTCACTATCGATCTCATCCAACAAGACACCACAGGACACCACGGGCCACCACGGGACACCGCTAGGGCCACCGCCAGACGGAAGATAATCATTTGTCTTGACTTCGCCCTAGCAACGGCGGACACCACGGGACACCACGGGACACCGCTGGGGCTACCGCCGGACGGAGGATAATCATTTGTCTTGACTTCGCCCTAGGAGCGGCGAACACCACGGGACACCACGGGACACCACGGGACACCGCTCGGGCCACCGCCGGACGGAGGAGAATCATTTGTCTTGACTTCGCCCTAGCAACGGCGGGTTCATTCCTCTCGCGCGCCCACGCTGCGTCGCCTCGCCCGCACGCACGATATGAACGAAACGGAACGATTTCCCGGTTGGGGGTCTCCGTTCCTCTGCGATCTCACCCCCCAAACCTCCGATCCATACACATACACATTTGTGGGGGGGCTTGGTCATGGGGGCGATGGGGCAGTGGCGATACGGCCATGTAGCCATGCCCAGAAGAAAACCGATCAATGGCAACGTGACCGTGTAGGCATGATAATGGAAATTGGGGCGTTGACGATAGGACCGTATCCTGGTGTCGCCGTGGTCAGGCGGGGCATGTCGGCATGCCAACATAGTAGCATCGTCTTTTAGCCAGAGTGGCTATTGACATCGAGTCAGCGGGGAACCAATATTGTGAAATCATTCCAATGCCAGGAAGTGCAAGTATGGCCATGTGGCCACGGCCATTGCAGGTGACGATGGCCCTGGGGGTATTCACCCATGCCCATGCGGTCGTGGGACAATGACAGTCTGCTCATATGGCAAGAGCCAAGGAGCCACGAGGCGACTGCCATTGCCACTTGGCGGAAGGCCCATGGCCGTGGGGCCATGTTATCTGAAGATGGGGCAAAATCCACAGGAGTCATGGGGCGCAAACATCCACGAGGCCATGGCCATGCAATTACGGGGCCACGTCCATGGGGTCATGGGGCCATGGCCATGCGGCATGCGGTCAGCTGGCCATCGCACCCGCGCCTGGCAAAGGAACATATGGAGCATCGGGCCATGTCCGAAAGGATGTGGTCACAACTCATTTGGGCGGGCACTAGTCAAGGCTCCATGAAACCATGGCCAAGACTATGGGGCCACTGAGGACTGCCCCTAGAGCTATGCGGCCCTACGCCATACCTACCCATTGGGTCATGGAGACGTGACCATTGGGCATCGCCATGGGGCCTACGCTGACAGGGCAACGGTGTCACGTCCTTGGGGCTGGACCACGGTCATGATAATTCTGTGGTGCCGCGAAGCAAGCTTCACAGCAACGAATCTGCATATGCGCATGCAGGCAAGAACTACTTGGGCGATACCGAGGATAACGCAGGACGGTGAATAATACAGACGAGAGAGGAGAACATCAGGAGAAGCTGGAGACCCGAGAGGACGGGACATCCAGAAATCACAGACTACCTACAGGTCATCTGGGAGTTCAACTCAAACATTCCAAGCACATCATCGCATCATGTTCGCCAGTCCCATAGGCCAACGGCGTGTCATATTATTCTGGCTAGCATCCCCCTACCCCCCCCCCCCCGCCGCTGTGGAAATCCAATATGTTCTTATGGTTCTGCTGCATTCCGCCGACATTGCGGGATTTCTCTGCTTCCCACACCCCTGGGCGACTCAAAATCAAGAGAAATGCCATAGATCCGCGATCCCAAGGCCACGACCCTTGAGGACAAACTGTGCATCCATGCTCCCGGGGCCATCCGGGATAATCAGTAGGTCCGCCCTCACGCAAGCAAGATTACCCGCATACGTGTCTGAGACGAATCAAGATACCTCCAACACGCATCCAGGGGCCTCCAACATGCACCAACGACTCTTCCAGGAGTCCTCCAAGAAGCCCCTAAGACGCCCCCAGAGGTCGCCAAGACGATCGATGAGGCCTCCAATAGGCTCCAAGACCCCTTGGCGCCCTCCTTCGGAAGTTCCCGAGAAGGTCCAGCCTGCAATGCTAACTAATCGGATGAGTATCGGCGTTTTTGGGCCTCGGCGAGAAAGCCAAAACATTGATTATACTAAGGTCTTGGCCGCATGTTGGCCTCCTGAGGGGGGGGCCGCTACTTGAGTACGGCCCCTCCTTTGATGGATCTCCTCAAACATGGCCCTCCCAGGTTCCCAAGGATGCTCCATGACGGCCCCAAGAGGTGCCCAGGATGCCCCAAGAGGTCCCCTAAGAGGCCCCCAAGATGCCCCCAACGGCCCCACCCAGAGGCACCCAAGACGCTGCAAGGGGCCCCCGAGACTGCCAAAAGACCCCCAAAGCGCCCCAAGAGGACTACAAGAAGCTATCGAAACACATTCGGAAAGACTCCGAGAGGCATTCAAGAGGCCTCTGGCATTTCTGCTCGCCCTGCTCCCCCTCCTCCTCCTTCTCCTCCTCCGCCTCCTCCTCCTCTTCCTCATCCGCCTGTTCCTCCTCCTTCCTCCTCCCTCCTCCCCCTCTCCCTCTACCTATCTCTCCTCCTCATCTTCCTCCTCCTCCTCCTCCTCCTCCTCCTTCGATTCCTCCTCCATCATTCCCCTCCTGGGACACGACGTCCTATCAAGCCCTTTGTTCCACTGCGTTCTCCTCCACATCCCTGATCGGGGCGCCGCGTCTGGACATCGTTTCTGGATGGGCTGGTGGGGTTACCTTTTTGTTGGTCGCGGCCGCAGGCGAGCGCGCCAGCAGCGTCAGAGGTCGGGCGGGCTACGCGCGAGCCTACTGGTGGGGTTACACGAAGCGTCTAGACTTCTCAAACCCTGTTCAAACTCAGCTCCGAAATCGGGAGATCGAGCCTCTCAGGAGCCATCTCAGAACCCTCTCAGAACCCTCTCAGGAGCCTCCCGATGGCCTCGCAAGAGCCTGCCTATGAAGAGCCTCCCGGGGAACTCCCAAAATCCTCTCTCAGGGCCCTCTCGGGAGCCTCCCAGGACCCTCTTGTGACCTTCTCAGCAGCCTCTCGAGAGCCTCTCAGGAGCTTCTCAGGAGCGTCCCAGGAGCTACTCAGGAGTTTGGGAGCTGACAGGAGCATCTCAGCGTCTTGATAGCACGGCCCTTCCGAGGGACCATAGTGTATACTTTTGACCGTCTCGCCTTTGCGAGCTCCAATGGGCTTCGTGGACCCCAGAGCGCTCCAGGAAAGATCCAGAAGCCCGAACAGCCTCCAACTACGTTACAGGAGGGCCCTTGAATGACTCCCGAGAAGCCCCGGAGCGGGGGTAACCTGGCCAAAGGCCCCAATGCGCCCCCAGGACGGACCCCAAACGCGAAAAAGATGACCCCAATGTAATCCACGACAGCCCACGAGAAGAGCCAAGACGCCCCAGAGAGGCTCCCAAAGAGCTCCCCCCAAATGCCAACAGGGGTCCCCCAGGAACATCCCGACAACCTTCGAACGGGCTCCATCGCGGAACTTGGGTGGGTACGTGTTCCATGGGACTTCGCCCTCAATACGTAAGATCAACGCCTGAATGGTTGTAGTGATCATGGCCTGCTCGTGTTTTCGGGTGCCTAGGGCCAGACATGGATGGGGCGTGTACACATACATGTTGCAACTCTGTACGATTATTTAGATCAACGCGAGCTTCACACGACAGACCACTAAACATACCACCGCTCAGCACTTTCTCGGTCGCCGCGATCACACAAGCAAAGGGCAACGATGATACTATATGGGCCAAGGGAATAACGCGCAGCGGTTGGCAAGAACATGAGTTGGGGGGGCAACAAGACTGTCTCGTGACCTCCTCACCATCCCTCAGAGCGCTGGCTCACCACCAGAACTTCACCGCGAATATCGCAATTGATCACTGCGTGATGAAAACCGTCGCTTCCTTCGGTTTCAGCTCTGAGCGGAGGGGAGTGGCATGGTAGTGGCGAGAAGATGTGCGCGGAAAGAAAACTCGAGAGATGCTGCTTGCATGTCTGCGCAGTCCGGCCTGCCCCTGGGTCAGAGGGACCGTGGCACAACGGCCGTTGTTCAGAGTGACGTGGGCAGTGTTGCCCTGGACCCGACAAACCCCACGAGAGGGGTCAGACAGCGAACAGTTCACACATTCTCTCGTAGTCGCCCGAGCAGGGGTGGCGTCGGTACAGCGACGGTGATGGCCAGTCAGGTGGTCTCATGTCCAGAAAGCAAATGGGTCCCTCCTCCCTCCCACCCGACTGTCTCCCTCCCGATTCCCTCCCTCTACTCTGGAAACCTCTAGGACCTTCAGGACACCATCGGAAACCTCCAGACTGATTCGAGACCATCCGATAGCGTACCAAAACTGCAGACCATATACTCACTGATTCCAGTCTGAACCCCAAGCAGCGAATTAGTTCAGCCTAAGTGGTACAATGCACAACATGCAAAGCAACGCAACACAACAAAATCAGTAGTTTCTGTGCCTCGGGCGATCCCCATAACAAAGTTTCAGGATAGCCAGATGTATGTTGTTAGTGGTTGTCCTTGGAGTATGTTCTTGAAATCGGTTTCTGGTGTGTACGATTGATGTATGGTCTTGATGTATGTTATTGGTGTTGCTCTGTGTCACTGTCCATGGTGTCTGGTAGTGACGTTCCCTTGCGATATATGTTGGCAATCTCTGCTCGGGATGTCTGTAGTGGTAGTATTATAGCTGTTAGTGTATGTTGCTTGTCATTGATATGTATGTGCGCTGCTAGCGACTATGACATGTAGATACTAGTGTGGTGGTATTGATTTCGTGTGGAGTCGTTTGGTGTGGTCTTACGGTGCACTATTAATACATGCTCTTGGTGCCTGCTATGCCTAACCATTCTCGGTGCCGGCCATGGGCGGAATCTTATGCTGGTTCTTACGGTCGCCTGTTCGGAGAGCATGGCGTTGATGGATGATGGTGGCGTATGATCTTGGTGACGGTTACCGATTACGTGCAGTTGTATGTTGCTGGTGCATACGGTTCTGTCACGTTGGTGGTTGCAGTTCTGGATGCATGTCGGTGGTGTGTTAATGATGCCTTTCGGTGATATATGCTATGGCCTTGTTGGTGTATACCCGTGCTGTATAGTATTGCTGGCGATCGGGTGTGAATTTTATTAGTTCGTGCTCCCAATGCATGTCTTTTACGCGCGTTATTGGTGCATGCTCCTCACGTGTGTTCAGACGTCTGTAGATGGCGTGACGCCGTGACGCCTGGACAGCGTGGCGCCTGCCTAGTGGGGCTGTCAGTCAGCCACGCCTGCTCTGTACGCTTGTCCATTTCGTCGTCGTTGAACTCTCAGGCATCTGCATGCTGGGCCCGGCGGCCGCGGCGTGCAGGGCGGGCGAGGCGGGACACCCGGGGACCACCCGAAGCTCGGGGCCCGGCGGCCGCGATGTGCGGGGCGGGCGAGGCGACGCACCCAAAAAGACCACCCAGACTCCTGGGGCCCGGCGGCCGCGGCATGTACCGAGGCCTCCCCAGGTGGGGTCCGAGCAGAGGGAGTCGGAGGATCGTGCCGCGTCGCCAATGCATCGCCAATGCATCGCCGATGCATCGCCGATGCATCGTCGACGTCGGCGACATATCGGCGACATCAGCGCGGAGAAAATCGGGCTCCGCATCGAGCCGCATCGCCGATGCATCGGTGATGCGGCGCGTTACTCCGACCCCATCTACTCCGACCCCATCTAGGAGGCCTAGAATGTAGGGCGTCCAGGGGCCACCAGAACAGTGGGGTCCTGGCAGCCGCGGTTTGCAGGGCGGGCGAGACGGGTCGAGAGCCGGTTTCTTGAAGTATAATCACCCCAACCTGCCTGGTGGGAGAGGACAATCAAAAACAATGCAAACCCACATGCACATCGAGAAGACAGTAAAGCGGAGTGACGCAGTGGACAGCGCAGCAATACGATCATGCACAGCAAATCAAAGCAGTAAGCAAAACAGTACAAGTCAGCGCGAAGCAGTACAATTCAAAACGATGTGACGCAACACAGACCAATACAAAGCGATGCGAACCAACCAGTGGCGCAGCCTACGCCGTCAGCCATGACACCCACAAGCGTCTGGGGCACCATGGAGCCCTATGGGCCATGGGCATAATACATGGCGCAACATGTGGCGCCGAAGCAATACGAAAGCACCATACCAAGTCTAAGTCAAGCCAGGCGAGAAAGCCCAAAGTGCAACATAATCCGAACGCCTCCCTCCCCCCCCTCCCCCCCTCATTTCTATAGGCCTACCACGAAATATTTAGAGAACTACGGAACGCTCTAAGAACGGAGGCAACATTCTTAGAACATAAAGCCGATGTGGTAAAACAAGACAGCCTCAGACAGAAACGTTCGAAGAACACTTCGCGCAAACCACCAAAGGTTGTTAGAACATCATTTGGTGGGCCTAAAATTAGGCAAGCCGACCTCACCCCCCACACTCGATACGATACGACAGCCGGCAGCGGCCCCCGTCCACGTAGGCAGTGGGGCTTCAGGTCGCCCAGCCTCCAGTGTCAGAAGGTCGTCGCCCTCCTCTTCCTCGCTCCTCATCAACATTCCTCTTCCCTCCTCCTGCTCCCCCTCCTCCTCCTCCTCCTCCTCCTCCTCCTCCTCCTCCTCATCCCTCCCCTTCTGTCCCCTATCTGCTTCTCCTACCTTTTGCTCCTCCTCCTCCTCCTCCTTCTCCTCCTCCTACTCCTCATCATCATCAGCATCATCACACACCACCACCACCACCACCACCACCACCACCATCATCATCATCATCATCATCATCATCATCATCATCAGCATCAGCATCAGCATCAGCATCAGCATCATCAGCATCATCATAATCATCATCATAATCATCATCACCACCACCACCATCAGCAGCATCATCATCAGCATCATCATCAATAACAATCAGCATCACAACCATCATCATCATCATCATCAATCCCATCGTCACCAGCATCAGCATTGTCATCATCACCACCATGAACCCTCACCCGCACCATAATCATCAGTATCGTCTTCACCACCATCATCATAAGCATCATTATCATCATAATCCTCATCATCATCAGCATCATCATCAGCATCAGCACCAGCAGCATCAGCATCAGCGTCAGCGTCAACATCATCATCATAAAACACAGCATCACCATCAATAGCATCAACAGCATCATCACAGCCATCATCAAAACCATCATCCTCATCATTGTCACCATCAGCACGGTCATCATAACCATCATCATAAACATCATCAGCAACATCATCATCATCATCATCATCATCTCCATCACAATCATCACCATGAGCAACATCATCATAATAATCAGCATCACCATCATCAACATAATCAAGATCATCATCGGCATCATCATCAGCAGCAGTATCAGCATCAACATCCGCATCAGCGTCAGCATCACCATCATCAACATTAGCATCAACATCCTCATCATTAGCATGATCATCATCATCAGCAGCATCATCATCATCAGCCTGCCTCCTCAGTCCTACCTCCTCCTCCTCCTCATCCATCACCTCTTCCTCCTCCTCCCCCAGCTCCTCCTCCTCCTCCTTCTCGTTCCTCATTCTCCCCCCTCCTCCTCAACCTGTTCCCTTCCTCATCTCCCCTCCCTCCCTCCCCCCCTCTCCACCAGACAACTACTCGTCGCACTCTCCTCCTCCGTCTCCTCCTCCGCATCTCCCACTAGTATGACTGGGCTCACTATGAAGTGCCCCCCTGGAGCACTAGCAAGCCGCAAGGCGTCCCCGATAAAGTACACCGCCTGGAACTCGTCCTGCGAAGCAGGCACAACGATGATCTAAAAACAACAGCAGGCGCGGCGGCGGCAAACGGCAATATATCTACGATACAAACGAGGACGCACAAAACTACCCTGCCGCTAGCGAGGTCGGAACATTACCCTGTTTCTCCTCCTCCCTCATTATCCCTTTCCTCCTTGCTGCCCCCCCCGAAAGAAGCCCCAGAGACCACTCAACAATATCTTGGGGGCGTCGCTGAATGGGGGGGACCGCACCTGGATATGGAAAAAAAAAAAAAAAAAAAAAAAAAAAAAAAAAACATTTTTCTGCAGCCCCCGTTGCCTTTTTTCATTCGTCGCCCCCCATTACGCGACGCGCAAATCCCCGTCAACAACCGCTGGCTGGGTTGAGAAGGCATGTGGGATGATTGGCTGGCCCCTATTCCCCTTCGGTGGACCCCAGGAATCCATAATGATGTTTGCGGGGGAGACCAAGGAAGGCGGGGTGGGTGGATTGCTGCGTTTCCTGGCGCATGTTCCGGCCGCCCGAGCCTCCAAATGCCTTGTGAAACGCCTCCAAGAAAATCGAGTTGAGCTCCTCGAAGGCGGTTCAACAAGAGCTCCGGAATGCCCATGGGGCCTAAAGGCGGCACCAAATCCAAATCCCTCCCAACACCTTTCCCCTTCGGGGAGGGGTTGGTCACTGCCTCCTATTAATGCACACCTCCTCCCCCAAGCGACCGGCAGCCAACCATGAACCACGAGGACACCATGCTCACCCCCCCTACGCCACCCCCGTCAAAAAACAATACAAAACGCACGCAGCCTGCACATGTGGAGCATGCGCCGCCAACCCGATGCGGCCAACCCAACGCTGCGCAACGACCACTCGGCGGTGCTTGCCGCGCCGCTGAATGCGCGCAGCACCCACCTCACGACATTCAACGCGCCAGAACATTTGTCTGGGCGCAATGGGCTCAGAACGACTATACTGTCGGGCTCCACCGCCATCGCCGGGGCGATGAAAGCCGCTTTAGCAAGATCCACGTAGCCGGCCACGGCGGCGTGGAACTGTTCACTCCAATCGCGCCCCTGGACATCCCTCCGCGGGGCGGCCCAAGGGATTCTGCCGATTCTCTTCCTTGACCTCCGCGATTCCGCGTACAGCGCGTCCCGCGACTGATTGCAGGGCGCGGGTCTCTGTAAGTCCGCCCCCGGAAGGCAGCCGAACGTCAGGGCCAGCGCAAACCCAATATCAATTACATTTGTGGAATCGCGCGCTTCGGCTGCCACAAAGAAGCTGCCCAGAAGGCAACATAATTACGATTGCTCTCGTTAGCGGGCTCGCCTGCTGCCGTTTCTCCTCGGTCTGCTTGCTTGGCATGCATCTCTGGGCCTCGACCAGCGGGTCCTCCCACGGCCGCGGGAAGTGGAATGTATCCTTCGCCCACAATAGCGACGCGAAGGATGCCTTCGGCACTGACGGCCCTCTACCGCCGGCGCCGCGGAGAAATAACGCGACAGATGTTGCATTCGACGGCCGCGGTTGGAGCCTGGCCGCTTCTGCCTATAGCTGCAGCCGCGCAAGGTTTCGCAGGTGGGATCGCACCGTCGCCGCCGCCGAATCCCTCTGGACCACTAGAGTCCGCAAGAGATCCGATTGATCTTCCCAACTGATGCCTTCGAGGGCCCATCCCCGGAGTTTCGGCGATGTGTCCCCGATGTGGCCCGCGAGATCGAGCACGAGCCCGACCTGGCTGGTCAGCGCTGCAGTCTCCAGGTCTTGGCAGTATTGTTCCATCTTTCTGGATTGTGCCTTTCCCCCCAGAAAAGACGACCACCGACGGTCACTTTCCATAGCTGGTCGTGGGCTCTGCCGGTGCTTCCATGGGACCACGAAGGACTCGTTCTCCTCCAGCCAACTCCGCGCGAGCATATCCCCTGACGGCCGCCGAAGGATTACGATCTACTTGTGCGTAGAACTCCCTGACCAATGACGGGCTACAGCAACGTTCACCGCCCAACTCTGCGACAGCGTTTTCTGATGATCGAACCAGCTATGCACTTTGAATATCGTACGGGGTTCTGAGCCACCAGGTACCGTTCTAAATCCACCGTCTCCGGTACCTCTGCGGGCACACCTGCTTGCAGTCTCGGCGACAAGACGGGCGCTAGCTCAGACATTTCTTGATCTTCCCGCCTTACCGCCGAATTTCCTTGTGTCAAGCGCGTCCTTTTGCCTCTTAGCCGAAACTCTCCGGAAGGCGGAAGGCGGCCTCTCTGAGAGTCTGGGGAAGCTCAACACCTTACACTGTCCCTGAACGACCCCTCCCCGACAACTCAATCGGCACTTCACCCAAATCCGCAACTGCAAGGCTTACGCAGCAGTCGGAAGTACGATGAGATATGTGGACACCACCGGCCCTGCCTGCCACAAACTTCCATGCAAAACAATACGCTTCCCGACGCCTCCGAGGCGCCCCAGGATCGCCCAGTCCAGACGGCCTTCAATACTGCGCGTCTCCCAGACTCCTTTCCTCCCAATCCTCCCTGCCCTTCTCCCCTCCAACCCAATCCCAACCCCCCTCCCGTCTCCTCCCTACTTTCTTACAGATCTCTTGCCCCCCTCCTCACTAGCCAGTGTTTCTGAGCCCATCTGTCGCTTTGTGCCTGCCGCGACAAGGCTGGACTACCTCGATCACTTCTCTGGTCTTCGCATTGCTGGCAGAGGGGGGTTCGCTGCGCAAGAACGTGGGATGGTCATATGGGGGAATGAGGAGGGGAGGGCTGAGAAGAGGCAAGAGGAAGGAGGAAGGATAAGTAACAAAGGAGGAAGAACAAAGCGGGGGGGGGAAGGCCTCGAGGAGGACACGAACGAGGCAGCAGACGGTGGAGGAAGACGGGTAGCTGCAGCCTGCAGAAAAGAAGGTCCTGCCAGCGGCCCTGCAAGCCAGCTAGCGCCGCCGAGTACATCGGTGGCATTGCCCACGCGTCGTTCCAGGGCGATGCGGGCTTGGTCGCCGTCTTTTCTGGCTGCATGGCTTTCGAGAGGGATGTCCTCCGCTCCTTTCTCTTCCCCTCCTAGGCCTGCACAAACACTTTGTCCAACACACCTCGGCGGAAACTATCTCCACACATCGGAACAAAAACGACGCGCGTTTCATGCAGCCGCCATTCAGCATGTCTGCGGCCCCATGTCCAGCGGACGAATCCAACCATGCATGTTGCAGTGTCGACCCACTCGTCGATCGAATCGTTACTTCGCGCCTCATCCATTGAGTCGTGCAGTTGTCTCGACGCTGTGCCCCGAATGCGACCTCTGAGCCTCAACATTTGGAACAACCAGCCCTCAATGCTGCCCCTCGACACGGGCCCCCATGACGAGAGAAAGCCCTACGTAAAGCCTCTCTCCCACTCCCTCTGCCCTTCTCCTCCCCCCGCCCGTCCGCGCCCCCCTTTTCCCACCCGTCCACCTCTGGAAATATCAAAACAAAGCCACTGGCAACCGTCCGCAGCCGCCAATATGGAACATTGGGCATGTCCGAAGACCGCTGGGTAAAGTCGAAAACAAACGAAAACCTCCAACAACCTCCTCCACCACCCCCTCCTGTGCGAGGGAGGTGGTGGAGGAGGAATAAGGAGACGGGGGGAGGGGGGGTGTCCTTCCTCTCCTCCGCCTCCGCAGGCCTGGGCGTGCATCAAGACACGTCTCACAACAACTGAACACATGCGGCATTCTCTGACTGACCCCTATTCGTCCACTACCCCCCCGCATCCCCTCTCTCTCCCCTTTCCCTCCCCCTCCCCCCCCTCTCCTTCCATCCCCCTCCTCCCCCTCTTTGTCCTCCTTCGCCTCCTCCTCCCCCTCTTCCCCCTGTCCCTCCTTCCGCTCCAGCTGGGCGAATGCGCCCGGAAGAAGCGGCGGAGGGGAAGGGGCAGGGCGGGAAATGAGGCGAACGGAGAGGCGGTCAAGCAGGGAGGATGAGGATGATAATGCAGTGGGGTCAGGGACCACAGAGAAACCAACATGCACCAACGATGTTGCAAAACACCCCCCGCGTCCCAAATCCCTCTCATAATGTAGGCGTGCGATTAACAAAACAAGGGGGGCGCGCGATGGCAAGATGGTTGCTCTTCTCAGGCGGATCGCGGGGGGGGGGGCGCCCGCCCAATTGAAACAAACGGCGGCGGCGCCGGTGATTGGCGCCGACGCCCGACCGACTTCAGGAGGGCGACAGGCGCGACGCAAGCGGCGCCGCTGCAGCTGATGGGGGACAGCAGCGCCTGCGATATAGAGTGGCGCTTGGGCCAAAATGGCTCCAGACAGGAGAGAAAGATGAGGCGGGGGATAGAGGCGCTTCGGCTGGCGGGCGTTGCCGGCATGGCTACGAACAAGAAAAGGAAGAGAGGGGGAGATGCGAAAGAGGCATGCGGAAAGGGTTCCTCCTTTTCCTTCTCCCTCCCCCCCTTCCACTACAACGTCCTACGACGACGACGACGACAACGACGGCGGCGGCGACGGCGGACGACAACGCGCCGCGGATTCTCCATGGGGAGGCAGGGGTGCTGCGTACGCGCGCTGTGGACGACGACGACGACGACGACTGCGGCGACGGCGGCGGCGGTGGCGACAACGACGGGAGACAACGCACTGCGAATGCCCTAGCTGCAGTCGACGACAACGACGACGACGATGAGGACGAGGACGACGACGAGGACGACGACGACGAGGACAAGGACGAGGACGAGGACGTGGACGAGGACGAGAACGAGGACAACGACGACGACGACGACGACTGTGGCACGTCAGTAATCAAACTGACAGGGGAGAAACTTCGCCTGGGATGTATACCTCTCAATCACAATTCCTATACCAAGGGCAATCGATTTGAGGCTGCTTTGCAGGGGTGCACGATCCCCTCGACGGCGCCCGCGACGACCCCCTGACGCGCAATTCAAAACATGTGTCGCGCCCCGCGGGGTGTCTACATCAGCCCTTCTGAAGGGGGGCCCATTTGTTAATCACAAGGTGGTACTGAACCCCTAAGGGCCGTCCTCTTGACTGCAAAAATAGTCTCCTTACCCTATGGGCCTACCATTCAGGCGAAAGCCTAATTTGAAAAGGAACAGTTGTTGTTTGCACCTTGTAACGATCAAGCTAGAGCAGCGGAAAACTACTATCATACAGCTCAACGAGGTGTCCAGCGAGAGCTGCGCTTTGGAAAGGAACAGCCTCCATCTGTGTAACTGTGGTGCATGCTCGCACCTACGACGATGAACTTAGAGGGAGCCTCAATCGAGAGCCCCAGCTTGGAAAAGAACCGTCCTCAAACAGCGCATCCCTTACACGTCTTCGTGCTTATGCTCAGACCTTTCGTCCCCAGGCCAGTATGCGGCCTGCGGCCTAATTCTTCCCTGCCCCTACACATCCAGACTGCCACGTATTTGCGCACGCTGTCCCGTAACGCACCGTCAACCCAAACAGTGCGGGGCACCCAGCCATTTCAGTCGCAGCCCGCCTCACCGCCCACCACACTGGCCTGACGTCCTTAGTCACCATGTGCCGTCCACATCGCCGGCGCGTGGCGCATACCCTCTCAGCTGAGACCTTTTGCAACAAGACATTGCACCGGATAGGTGCCCCTTGACCAGCCACGCGTGGCACTCTACGGCTTCGGCCGCCATCCTATTAGCATGGGACTGCACTTGCTAGGTGCCCCTAGTCCCGCCACGTACTGCTGTCCACCCAGACAGCGCGTGGCCCCACGGCGTACGCCGCAATTTTGCTGCAGGCAGTGCGCCCGCTCGGCCGTCCCCTGCTGGTCAGCAGCAGTTTGGACGCCCGCAACCCAGCCCTGCCCACATGACGGCGCGGCCCGGATCGCAGGTGATCGCAACAGTGCAGTGCACGGGCCGCCCGCCTCCAGCTCCCGCTGGCGCTAGGCGCTCGGGCTACCGCCCCGCCTGCGGGGACCTCCCTGCAGGCGGGGCGTTCCTCCTCCCTGCGTTCCCCCTCCCCGTCCCCTGTGCCTTGTCCCCCCCCTCCCTCCGCGCGCCGCCATGGCGCTCGCGCTGCTGCCGCAGCTGGCAGCTTCCCCCGTGTGGCAGTGCTCCTGGGCCTGGTATTGCCGCACCCCATCTCACGGGCCAACCACTTTGTTGGTGGCAATATGAGACCTAGATTGCTCGTGGACTTGCCGTACCCTGTCAACCCGGCCACCCACCTGGGCGGCATCACGGCGCTTTTCCTGACGTGCAAGTACCTACGTAGTCCTACTTCACCGACGGCGTCACTGCGGTACCCTTTGCTTTTACGTACTGGGCCCCGACATCGCCCGTGGGTGCCACGGCGCTGCGGTCTGGCTGCTACCAGTCCCTGCTGACGAGGCCAGCCGCGTTGGCGCGCTCAGGAAGAATTCTCCCGCCTCTGAGGGCCCCCTCCGCCTCCTCCCTCCTCCGCGGCCGCTCTGTCCGTCTTTTCCCCACTCCTGCACGCTGGCCAATTCGCTTCTCGGTACCCCGGTTTAGCTCTATCGCTGGTGCAGCCATTCTTCCCCGCCGCCGACGAAGAATGTGCTCATGCTTATGGCACTTGATATGAGCAAGGACATCACAAGCGATAACCATACATTGCATTACAACCGCCCTGCGTCCTCGTACGAATTCTAAACTGTTGCGACGAATGTGCGCGGCGCTGAGGCGAGAGCCCGATTTTGAGAAGGAGATGGCATCCATCCCTGAAACTGTTGCAAGATTGCAGGACCGATGTGCGCGGCGCTAAGGCGAGAGCACAGAGCACAAAAAAAGAACCGCCCTCATATGTGCTCAGCGCTAAGACTAGACATTCATGTTGAGGACGCTCCCCCAACATCCCTGTAGCTGTTGCTGTTGCAAGCCGTTAGAGCGATTGTGCGCGGTGTCACGGCGAGAGCTTCATTCTGAAGCCACCCCCTTCCGTGCAATTGCTGCAACTTTCACGCTTCAGGACCGTTCTCAAGAAGTCACAAGGGAAACGTCCAGCCCGCTCTGCCGACACGCCTGGGGGTGCGATAGAAAGGAGTTACCGATGAAGAAAAGGGGGCAGGGGGAGCGGGAGGAGGAGGAGGAGGAGGAGGAGGAGGAGGAGGAGGAGGAGGAGGAGGAGGAGGAGGAGGGGGGAAAGGAGAAAAGGGAGGACGTGCCGCTCTCAGGCAGGATCTCACCCCATTCGATTCCCTTCTCCACTCTTAGTTATGATCCTCCCCCGTGTCCGCCCCTCCTTGCAAAGTGTGCGCCTGCGGCGTCGCGCGCCTGTATGTAGCGTTCGAGAGGGGTGTGGGGGGGGGGGGGGTAGGAGAGGGGGGGGGGGGGAAACGCGGGGATCTGGAACGACTCGCGGCAAATGTTTAGGTTGCCGCGGGTGCACCGCCACTCGCTGCGGTGCCAACTGAAATTTCCTCCTCTGTGTTTTCCTGAATGGGGAAAGCGGCGCCTGCCTGAACCGTTGATCGGCGAGGTCAAGGTTCGGCTCTCGCTGCAGAAGGGCAGAAGGGGCAGCCCAGCGCGGCCAAGGAGAGGGTGTGAGCAAAAACAATGTGAAACTGAAGCTGCGCGTGGTAAATAATTCGAATTGGCACGGAACTTGGCCTTTTAGCCGAATCACCTCTTAATGGCTAGCGAACCTCAATCGGCTACACCGAAGGAGTGACCCTGGGCCAGAGTGACCTTTGGTGCGCGGCTTCTGGGGGTCGCGGGGAGGCCAAGCCCGAGAGCGCAAGACGCTGCTATCGCACAGCGGACCATCATCTGGGGGACCCAACGTGTGCGCCCGCACCAAAGGGCACTCCAGCGAGAGGTCACGACTACGTGCAACCGGCGTCAAAACGCTGCGTGCGCTGACTGGGGTACAAATCTCGAAGGCGGCCAAGAGGGGGGCGTCCAAGAGGGGGGGGCGCAAATCATGGCCGGCGGCACGTGCGCGGCCCAGGGGGGGGGCCAGGGACGCAATGAAATGAGAAGAAGAGACGCCATGAAATCTGGGAAGATATCATGCCCACGCCATGAGATCACCCCCCCATTAATCATCACCCCCCTCTTGGCCGCCCCCGACAATCCGTGTCGGGGGGCGGGCGCGCTCACGCCATGACATTATGGCCCACGCCATGTTATCATGGCCCACGCCACGCTAAGCCCGAAAATCCGAAACGTCATGGCCCACGTCATGATCTCCCCCACTCCCATCCATCCCGCCATGATATCCACCCCCCTTCTCCTCCTCTTGTTCCTCCTCTTTTTCCTCCTCCTCCTCCTCCTCCTCCTCCTCCTCCTCCTCCTCCTCCTAGCCATCATCCCCGTCTTGGCCGCCCCCGAGCAAATCCGTGCCCGGGGGGCGGGCGCGCCTGGCCCGGGCAGAAGGTGGGGGCGTCGGCCTGCATCTGCCTCGGGGCGCGGAGCCGGCCCAGCTCGCACAGGGCGCCCCACCCCGGGAGAGGAGGACGACGGGAGATTTGCGGCGCGCGCCAGGGGGGGTGGAGGGGAGAGGGGAGGGCTTCTCAGAAGGAGGCTGCTTCTCAGAAGGCGCCGGCCTCACATCTGTGAATGATGCCCGCGCCTTCTAAGAAGCAGGGGTGCTTTTAAGAAGACCTCCCCCCTCGCGCGGCTCGCGCGGGGCGCCCCGCCCCGAGAGAGGACGACGGGGCTCGACCAGAACAATGTTTTACCTTTTCGTTTTGACTTCGCTTTCCTCTGTTTTGTCTTCGTTCCACCTTTGCTGCAAAACAAAATTAAAACGAGAACGGCCAACGAAATTGCCAAAACACCGTTCAGGTCGAGCCCTGGAGGACGACGGGAGATACAGGCAACCCTTATACAGTGGAGGCCAGTCCACAAGAAGGCTTCCACGAGAAACCCAACCCTGAGACCCCATGACGTCCAACCCTAAGACCCGAGAGAGGAGGACGACGGGAGAGACGGTCAACCCGTATAAGAGGTCGGGGAGACGTAAGACTCGTGTACGGGGGACTCGGGTTGGCCTGACGGGGCCATCGTGAAAATGACGAGGCCCAATCTGAAAATTTGACGCGAACTCCCGCTGCAAACCTCCCACGGAAACCAGACCGTCAAAATCCATGACGCGCTCGCCAAAAAACGTCGGCAAACCCGAGTTCTGGCTTATTCGAGTCTTACGTCTCCCCGAAAGAAGCACGCGCGATAAGGATGCGTTGAGGGGGGCCTGGCGGGCTCCTCGTCGTCATGGCTGGACGCGTCTCGGAACTCGGGTCACGGCGCACCCCTGGAGAGGCCTGGGGGGGGGAGCGAATCTCAGAGGGGGGAGGGGGGCCGAGGAGCACGAAGAGGAGGATCCAGACATCCTACGTTGTGATTTTGTCTGCCCTGGTCTGCTTCATCGATTCGGGCATTCAACGTGCCATATTCTATTGCCCAGAATCCGTTCAACAACTGCCCCGCACGACGAGACGGCCGTGGAGAAGATGCCGAGGTCCGGGAGCAAGTCCGTGAGCGGGGCCGCTGTAGCCGAGACTGAATCTCTTCGCTCGGGCGTTGCAAATACGTGATACTGCCCCGCGCTTAGCTCAACGCCAAAATGTATTAGGTCATTATCATCATCATCTCGTCATCGCCACCAGGATGATGATCATCATTAGCATCGTCATCATCACCATCACCATCATTCACCGTCATCATCATCATCATCCTCATCCTCATCAGCATCAGCATCATCCTCATCATCGCCACTGTCATCATCCTCATCATTATCATCACCACCACCATCATCATCATCGTCATCATCATCATCATCATCATCATCATCATCATCATCATCAGCATCATCATCATCATCATCATCATCATCAACATCATCATCATCAGCAGCAGCAACATCACCATCATCACCATCACCACCACCACCACCACCACCATCATCATCATCATCATCATCATCATCATCATCATCATCATCATCATCATCATCATCATCATCATCATCATCATCATCATCATTCCGAGCGCCCCGGATCGGCGGTACTGGCCGGAGGCCATGGCAACATGCCATCAAAGGGGGCGAGCATGTTAGAGCACTGCTCGGGCAAATAATATAACATATTGACTACATCGGCCTAATGCAAGTTCCTTGAATTGTCGTCACATCGCTCGCTCGCGGAAGCCGACGGAAATAAAACGAGGCGGATGACGGCGGGAGGCCGCCAGAAAGCTTGCGGAAGACAGCGGGAGTGAATGACGCCCCGTCCGAACCCCCCTCCCCCCCGTAAACCCTAGCAGTGCAGTCTTCTGCCGGGGGCCGGGCGGGATCCCGCTCAATATCTTGGTTTTAGTTCAGCCAGGCTTGAATCCCACCCAGTAAAAATGGGGTAAGCAAATATCCCGGGTCGTTCACAGATCCCGCCACGCTAGGATCGACTCGAAGTAAGTTTGGGCCCCGAAGTTGTAGCATTTTTGGCGTGTCAGGGTCGTCTTGAGGTCATCTTGAGATCATATCTCGGTCATGCTTGGATCGCGCAGCCGTCGCGTGTCCATTCTGGGGCCGCCCTGGGCGCGCGCGGATCCATCTTGGTGCCATCGGGCCATCTCGGCGTCACTCGTGGCTCCATTGTCTGGTCGTCTTCGGGTCGGCCTGAGACGGTCCAGAATCCATGGCGGGATCGCGTTGGGGTGGCGTCATCCCAGGGTCGGCTGGACGTCATCGCCTTTGGCCTCAGGCCCTCCTGGAACCATTTTGCAGCCATGTGGGCGTCTTGGGATCTCGCGCACGCGAGCGCTCAGCACGCGCGCGCGACAACTCATCTCGCCGATGGGCGTACTCACGTATACTTCTTGTAACGAGTTTCCAAGCAAACTTTGGTTTGAGCAAATTATGTTTTGGGGCCCGCAACGTGTTGAGAGATTCGGTGGCGGTCCGAATGGGGGATATTGTGACAGCCGCTGGACAGTGATCGGGGTCTCAATCCTGACCTGCAGCTTCTGGCGGCATGCGACGATAGCAATGCAGGTTGCTGGTGCTTGCTATGACGACGTCCTGCTGACTGCTCCAATTCGCCTAGATCGGCTGGAGTCTGGCGTCGTTGTTGCATCTCCCCCTGGCCGCCAATGTGCTCCAATTCGCCACCAATCGTCCATCAGACATCCCCCTGGCGATGACAGTTCCCCTTGTGCAAGTGGCCGTGGCTGGCATTGGACCCGACCATGGGTGTTCGAACGTCTCGTGGATCACACTCGTGCCTCCCGGACGAGGAGGAGGAGGAGGAGGAGGAGGAGGAGGAGGAGGAGGAGGAGGAGGAGGATGAGGATTAGGAGGAGGAGGAGGAGGAGGAGGAGGAGGAGGAGGAGGAGGAGGAGGAGGAGGAGGAGGAGGAGGAGGAGGAGGGAGGACCCAACACTCCGTGTGGCCAACGCCACGGGTCTCGTCTGCATGCTGAGGTGCACAACCAAAATCTAGGTTCGCCTACCCCACCCCGGCACCTGGGAAACTTACCGATTCCATGCGTGCTCGCCATTTTCTTCTCCGCGTTGCGCCTCGCTGCCTCTCTCCCCGCTCTGTGACTCCATCCCCCTGCCAAACTTGGCTTTGCGCTGGACGGACTGCAAAATGCGATCGGTGTTTCTCTCTCTTTCCCTCTCTGTCTCTCTCTCTCTCTCTCTCTCCCTCTTTCACACATCTCGGGGGGCGGGAATGGGAGGAAAAAGAGGTTGCCTGCTCACACGCCAGCATATCTTGCCCTACAGAGGAGAAGACGTAAGAGGGCAATGGTTGTTCTCACTCTCTAGTTCTCTTTCTTTGTCTCTCTCTCTCTCTCTCTCCCTTTCTCCCCCTCGTTCCTCTTTTCTCACGGTCGCTCTCTGTATATCTCTCTCTCTCTCGCTCTCTCCCTCTCGGCATACACACGCAACACCAAAGATCCCCTCAATAAGGATCCCTCAACAAAAAGCTTCCTTACGACTGCTTCCTTCCGTGAGTCCGTCGCAATGATGCCTTCAGTGCACGGTCCTGCGTAAGGGGCACGTAAGGAGCCCTTCGAAAGGAGGCACTGGGTGGGGGCGTGGCTGCACTCTCCCACACCCCACAACACAGACGGTGGAAGTAGGGGGGGAATTGGTTGCGCTCTCTCGCTCCCTCGCTCTCTCGCCCTCTCTCTCTCTCTTTCTCCCTCCCTCTCCCCCCTCTCTCTCACACTCACGCACGCACAACCCGCACAAGGAAACCCGTGAGGGCGCCATGTGAACGAATCCACTGGGGCACTTGCTGGGGATCCCGACTCAGGACGCTTGTAGGATGCTTGTAGCAAGTGGCTCTTAGCAACATTCGTGTACAGAGGGATTCTTAGCGCGGATCTTGCTAGTGTTCATTCCTCAGTGCAGGTGCCTTTACCACGGACCCCTTAGCACGGATCCCGTTGAGCGCGGATGCTGTAGCGAGGCACTTAATACGCGTTCAGAATTAAGAATGTCTTGTATCAAGATGTCCTTGGAACGAATCCTTTTAGTGGGCGTCCCTGTGTGAGGCCCTTTTAATAAAGATCCCGTAGACATTCGTTTCCCATGCTTCTGTTAGTACAGGTTCATTGGTAACGACGGCTCTTCGTGAGGGGTCCTGAGTAAGGATGCCTGTAGCAATGTCCCATATGTTGGGCCGCCTTCAATAAGAAGCCCTAACAATAAAGATCCCTGTGGTACGGACTCTGTACTAATACTTCCTGTAAGAATGGTTATTCTATACGGCCTGGATGAGGGATCTCCCCTCAATGCTGGCCCCGCCCCCTGTAACAAAACTCCGCATTCAGACTTCCTTTAATACGTAAACTTTTCATACACTGGCTTCAACAAGAGATCCTGGGTAAGGACTCCGGTTTAACGTCGACATGGTACCTGTTTTTCTTGGGGGGAGAGAAAAACACACAACAGACACTTGCCACTATGTTTCTTTCGTTGCGTGTCCCCTCTGGAATGATACTGGCACTGCGCTGGGTTGGGACTGCGACAGCGGCAGACGTCTGAAGGGTCCCTATAGGAAGCATCCCTTAGCAAAGATGCCGTCATCATGGGATCCTAAGTAAGAATTCCCGTTCGAAACGGATCACTAGTGAGGATACCTTCAGCAAGCATTCGTCAGGAAGGCTGCCTTGTATAAATGAACCCTTAATAATGGTTATGTTGCTGAGGAATCCTTTGTGAGATGGGGGAGAATGGCATGATGAATTTCGCAAGGGGGGATTCGACCTCGAACCTGCATAAACAAGACGGGAACCAATGCCCTTGACTCAAATGAGAAGGGAGATCGGATCCACGGGGCTCCGAACCTGCAGACCTGAGTTCCTATCCTGGGCGTAGGTGGTTTAACGATGTCTTTTTTCCTCTTCCAAAATCTTCTTCCCTTCGGGGAGGCTATTTTTTGGGTGGGCCGCGACCAATCAGGGCGCCAATCGGAGCCCCCTCAGGACACCCCCAAGAGGCCACCATTCTTCAACAACCTCCTAAAGGAAAGTCCATGAGGGTTGCCTTCTCGCCGTTTCCCTTCCGATGCGGTTTTGGTGCATCAGCAAGAATGCCCCACGATGACGAAAGAGAACCCCAACAATGGCCCAAGAGGCCTCCGAAACGGCCCCAAGAGCGCCTAAGGTCGACCCAAGAGCGCCCCAAGAGCGCCCCAAGAGGCGATGTTGATGGCTCCAGGGGGGGCATACATTTAGGACCCCCCCCCATGCTTCGATCGATGGCCTCCAGAGGCCCACTGGGGACCCCACCAAGAGGGCCCCAAGCGAGCCCCAAAACGGCGCCAAGAAGGTCCCGAGAGGGCCCAACGGGCGCCCAAGAGCGCCCCAAGAGAATCACACGATAAGTTCGAAAGGTGAATAGTCCGTTCTTGCTGTGCTATTCGTTCTCCTCCTCCTCCTCCTCCTCATCATCATCAGCATTATCCTCCCTTCGCCCACCCGCGGGCCCTAATGATGGCTCGAAGAAGCCTTCCAAGGCCACCCCCTTGCTCCCACATAGATTACTGCTCATCTGGTTGCTCGCTTTGTTTCACACTGTCTCTTCGTCCCTTGTCCCGTCACCTCTAATGGGCAGGGTTTCTGAACGGGACTGGCGGCGATTGTTTGGGTACGCGGGCACGCGACGATGAGTCGAACGCCGTGCAAGCTAAGGTGGGCCGTAGCGCGAAGAATTCTAATCTGCAGGTCGGATGAATACCATGCCCTCCTGACTCCAGTTCTCTTGAATACGTCCTGTGCGCACCCAGCACCTGCTCTGCTCTCCACTCTCCAGCGAACACTGCCATAGCCTGCTCCCCCTCCACCTCATCATCCTGCGTCTCTTACTCCCTCCCATTCTGGCAGATTCACAACTGACCTCACAAGAAGCATCCGCAGCAGTTCAAAACTCGCCAGGCGCACCTCTTGAGGCCAGGGAAGATCTCCTGGGACAGCACGGGGGGGGGGGGTACAGGAGCGGCGAAGAGAGAGAAAGTGATGGCGGGCACGGCACCGAAAAATTGACGAGCCACCTTTCAGCGCTATCGTCACTCTGACATTGAACAGTGAGGATGTGGCCACCGTGTCTCAACCAAGGACGGCCAGATCTGGAACGACGTGTCCAGCAAGAGAAAGACATTATGTGCTAATGAGGAGAGTCGGACAGAAGAACATAGAGGAGGGAGGATGCAGAAGGCGACACAGGCGGGAGGGAGTCGAGAGGAAAAGGAGGCTCCTTTGAACCACCTCTTTCTCCCGTCTCCACCCTGTTTCCCCTCCTCCCCCGCCTCCTTCCCTTCCTCGTCTTCGTCGTTGTCCTCCTCCTCCTCCTCCTTCTCCTCCTCCTCCTCCTCCTCCTCCTCCTCCTCCTCTTCCTCCATCTCTTTCTGAGTATTTCGCTTTCTCCCCGTGTAACCCCCATTCGTCCACATCCTCTTCCCTGTCGCCTTCGCACTACTGTGCCGCCCGCCTGCTCCTCCTCCTCCTGCCCGTGGGAGTGAGGAGCGGGCCACGCAGCCTCCGAGACCCTTGCGGCGGGAGACGGGGTGGGTGGGTGGGGGGGGGGGGTGAAAGGGGGAATAACACCGATCCCTCAAACACTCCTTTTTGATAGGGTTAGGTCGGGCAGGTCCTCATACATGCGGATCGTGGACGAAAAATAAATAAGCAATACGCCAAAAATGCTCAAACCTATTCAAACATGGTCAACAAATCGTCCCAGACGATGCTCTGCTATTTTTGAATATTTCTCCTGTAGAGGGACATGCCCGACTTCATGATAGGGTGTTGCCTGAGTCGCTCCTGGCCCCGCGATGACCCCCGGCTTTCCAGGGAGGGCCCCCAGGGCCCCACGGCGCCCCACTCCAGGCCCCCAAACGGGCGGAGAGCGACGGATTCCGAGAGATTCCTGGGCGAGGGCAACCAAAACACACTTCGTTGAGACAGCAGAGCTGCGCCCAGGGCCTTCGACTCCATTTTCTGCGAAAGTTCTCGACCTGGATCGATACAAAAGGGCTGCTTAATTGAGGAACGCTCAATCAGGAACGAAGTCCCTGTTTGGCGCCAACAGCGCCTGGGTGCACGAGGAGGGCGAGGGGAACAACCACGAGCCCCTTCCGAAGCCAGAGCGGTCCTTACTTCAGCGTCTTGACTGCAGTAAGGGACAAGGAGGAGCGCAGGCGGAGGCGGGCGAGCAGGGCGGGCAGAGGTGAGGGGCGAGGAGGTGAGGGGCGAGGAGGTGCGCGCGCGAGAGAGAGGGAGGGAGTGAGAGAGAGGGGTGGAGGGCGGCATGGGCATAAATCGCTCTGCGAACGACCCAACCATGTGCAGCTGCGAATAACACAAGCTGTAGCCCTCTCACCGAACGTAGCGCTCTGCAAAAGGAATGAAACCTGGGGTTAACTGGCGTTGACTGGTTGGCTGGCTCAGCGCGAATCAGGGGCGCGAAACGTCTAAGTGGTATGACGAAGATGGCGAGGTGCCGCCATGCAAACCCCTCTATGTGTGGTGAGCTTGGTCCACGAAACGTGTCAGGGGTGTGCCAGAATGAGCGTAGTCACGCATGCGAGCCCTGCCATTTGGGTCTTCGGTGGGTCTCCCCATGGGGCCACGAAACGTGTGATGGTGTGCCGACACGTGTGCGGTGCCGCCATGCGAACCCTGCCATTTGGGCCTTCGGTGGATCATGGGGCCACGAAACTTGTGTCGGGAGTGCCGAAATGGGCATGCGGAGAGCAGAGGCAGGGATGGGAGCTGGACCCCCCGAGCTCGGGACCGCTGCCCTTGGACCACCGTTCCATCCCGAGTTGCGCCTGCTGACGGTCCCAGGGCCAAGCAGAGATCCCAGAGAAGCCGACAGACTGCCGCCAGACACCTCCTGCGGTGCTCTCTTCGCGACGCGAGGGTGGCCTGGGCCCTCCCTTCCCCGGCAACGGCCGTCCATCTTTTGGATCATACGGCCCGAAACATGCTGCGCAGGGCGTCCCGCTCTGGCCTATCAAGGCGAGGGCAGTGCGGAAACCCTCGGCCACCAGCAGCAGGGCTGATGTGGAGGCTAGGGGAACGAAGAATGACATAAACATAACAACTCAGAGGTCCGCGCGGATTTCTCGGATCCGCGCTGGACCCACAGAGGCGCCGCCAAGGGGGCTCCAGCGCGGATCCGAGAAATCCGCGCGGACCTCCCAGTGTTTACATTAATGTCATTCGTCGTTCCCCTAGAGGCGCAGGGGCGCGGCGCAGGCTGCTCAGGCCGGGGGCGCAGCGGCAGTCAGGGAGAAGCTGCTCGGAAGGCCAACTGCCTGGTAGCGGGGAGGGAACCGTACGTATCCGGATCCACGGCCTCGCGGTCTGCACTCCCCAGCCACGACCCCACGGACACAGGGCGGCGTTGCGCGGGTGCCCCGCGCGGAATGCATCCGTGGGACAACGTATCCGTGGGGTCGTGCCTCGATGTCCAGACTGCGGGGGCATGAACCTGGGACGCGAGTCTCTTCGTCGCTCGTGGGCCTGCGCGGCCATCGGGCCTCTCTCCGGCTCCACCTGCTGCCGTCCCGTTCCCCTACACCCGCAAGGCCAGTCGGGAGTGAGACGAGGAGCTCGGGAAAGCCGCTCAGGGTGGCCCGCAGCCCGCTCAGCGTCCAGCGTGCGGAGGGGGGCCCCGGCCCGACTGCACTCGCATCTGCACCGAGCGCAGGAAGGACATCACGAGCGCCGAGTAGTCGGACTCTCCCTCCCTCTTCGGCTTGAAGTCCGAGATCACCACGGCCTGGATGTCGGTAGTGCACGCCTGTCCAGGGCCCCCCTTGTTCTTCGAACACCCCCCGCGGGCAGCCAGAGGCTGAGCGGGCGTGCCCCGAGGGCGCTCTGACGACGGACGCGGAACTGCGCGGGTAGAGGCCCTGACGCAGGCTGGCTCACAGGGCCCCCCCTGGCGTCGTGTAAAATCACGGGAGGAGCTCCCCCAAGACGAAAACAGGCATCCGGGGGTCCAGGCCTCCATGCCCGGCTCCCCGCCCCCAACGAGTGCAGCTTTCTCCAAACTTTTGGGCAACCGGGTCGGCCCAACCGAGCCTCGACTGGGGCAGGAGGGCGATCAGGGAAGGTTTGCAGCCCGCCCGTCAATCCGAGGGCCACCACGGCTGCGCGTGTCACTGCGCCGCGGAAGCTGTCGAAGGATCGGTGGCAACTCACTCATGGGAGCCTCCCATACCGTCTTGCTGGCTCGTGCGAACCGACGCGAACTGACGACAACTTACGCCAGCCCATGCTAAGGCGACGCTGAACCTGAGCTTTCTCATCGACTACCAGACGCTGGCGCACGCCAGTACCCTTTGAAAGCGGAATTACGAAGGCATGCAAAGCTTGAAGGGGATCTGCGCCAGTCCAGCTCGAAAGACCCCTACGCCCAGAAGACGTTCGAACGGGTCTGCGTCACCAGGTGGAGCGACCTGCGCGCCTTCAGGGGCATACGGTGTGCGTCGTCCCCGAGGGGGTATGTACGGTATGCGTTAGCCGTCCCCGCGCGGAGCCTGTGGGAGCTCTCTGAAGGCCCCAAGACACATCTAAAGCCCGCCGTGGGATCCCTGGAAACCTGAGGGGGGCCCCCCTGAGGCCACCAGGAAGCCCCTGGAGGCCTTCTGAAAGCCCCTCTTGACGCCAATGGATGCCCCTGGAGACCCCGTTGCCCCTCGGAAGTGCCCCTGTGCCCCAAGAGGCGCCTGGATACCGATTCCAACCCTTGCAAACTCCCGTGGAAACATCTGGAACCACCCGTGTAGCTCCTGGAGGCCAATGTGAAATGCCACGAGCCCCTCGAAGCCCAGCTCTTCGGAAGCATCTGGAAGCCCCTTGGTTACCCCTCGCCCCGAGGCACCAGGGGCGGGGCAATCCTGGAAGCCTTTTGGAAGCACCCCGGAAACCCCCAAGAAAAGCGGGCGGCATCCCGCCGCCAGCCGCCCCGCACTGGACCGGCCCAGTCGGCGCCGCGCGCGGAGATCGGAATGCGCCATCGATCCAATCGATTGGTGGACAGCACGGCTCCTTCCCTTGGCAGCCGCGTGCGAAATCCACCCCCCGCCGCCCATCGAGCTGGACTGGTACGGTTTCGCCGGTAGGGTTTCACTTCGCTCGAGCCCGCTCGCAGTGTCGGACCTCCCACTGGTGAGCCCCTACGTCGTCGGAGTCGATGGGCAGCAGGCTCACTGAAGCCTGCCTGCTCCCCGCATGCTGCCGAGGCTGATTACTCCTCCTACGCTGCCCCTTCCCGAACAGAGGCACAGTCCGACGCCGTCACGCCTTCTCCTCCTCCACCTTTTCACGTCTTCCTCCTCCTCCTCCTCCTCCTCCTCCTCCTCCTCCTCCTCCTCCTCCTCCTCCTCCTCTTCCTCCTCCTCCTCTTCCTCCTCCTCCCCCCCCCCTACCCCTACGCTCCCTGGTCCCCCCTCCCCCTCACCCTCCTCCTCCTCCTCCTCCTCCTCCTCCTCCTCCTCCTCCTCCTCCTCCTCCTCCCTCCTGGTCGGCGCTGGAAGCTCAGGCACGTTGAGACCCGACGGAGAGAAGAATTGGTGAAACTCTCTCACACGACGAGGTGATCCGCGTGGGACCCACCTCCGCTGGGCCTCCCAGGGGCCCACGAAAGTGGCGACAGTTGCGCAGATTGCAGCCCCCAGGGCACCGCGAGGTCTCGAGGTGGTCCGCGTGTGACCCACCTCCGCTGGGCCTCCCAGGAGCCCACGAAAGTGGCGACAGTTGCGCAGATCGCAGCCCGACGGCACGAGTGCCCAACCATAGGAGGGTTGGGAAATACATAACAAAAAACATTCAAAAATCGCAGAAACCGTAGAACTGTCCGGCACGAGCCCCGGAAGATTCCAGCGCCTGGTTCTCCTTTTCCCCCAAGCCCCCGACAAAGGCAAAAACACCATAGTTTTCTGCTTCAAAACTAGTGCAAGCGAGCAAACGAAAATTGCAAAAACCGTGAAACTGCCCGGCACTAGCCCCGGAGATTTCTGCGACAGGCGACTGCGAACACGAGCCCCGTTAGGGTTCAGCGCTCCCAGTGTAGCACGAGCCCTGGAGGGTTCAGCGCTACTGGCACGAGCCCCGAAGGGTTCAGCGCCAAGGCACGAGCCCCGCAGGGTTCAGCGCCACAGGCACGAGCCCAGAAGGGTTCAGCGCCGCAAGCACGAGCCCCGAAGGGTTCAGCGCTCAAGATGTCGAAAGCACGAGCCCCGAAGGGTTCAGCGCTGTAGACGTCGAAAGCACGAGCCCCGAAGGGTTCAGCGCCCTCAACGCGGTTGGCACGAGCCCCGAAGGGGTCAGCGCCAAAGGCACGAGCCCCGGAGGGTTCAGCGCCAGACAAAATCATGTGGCAAAGGAGGAGAAGGAGGAGGCGGACGGCGCTCTTGGCACCCCCTACACCTTCCGACAAACGGCTCCAAGACCCCAGGTCCGCCAAAACACTGCTCCAGCTCGAGGCGGACGACGCTCTGGGCGTCCCCTACGCCTTCAGACAAACGGCTCCAAGACCCCAAGCCGCCAAAACACCACCCATACTCGTCGTCGTCGCCGTGGTCAATGTCGTCGTCGTCGTCGTCGTCGTCGTCGTCGTCGTCGTCGTCGTCGTCGTCGTCGTCGTCCTCGTCGTCGTCGTCATCGTCCTTGTCGTCGTCGTCTTCGTCGTCGTCGTCCTCGTCGTCATCGTCGTCGTCACCGCCGTCCCTACCTCCTCCTCCTCCTCCTCCTCCTCCTCTTCCTCCTCCTCCTCCTCCTCGCCCTCCTCCTCCTCCCACCTCCTCCTCCTCCTCCCTCCCCCTCTTCTGCCCCTTCCAGGTGTGGGAGCCGCCCAGGGACCTCCTCCGGGCCCCGCGCCCACCTCCAAGGCGCACGCTCGCCTCCTGCGCGAGCCCCACGGGCCCCAAAGCTGTTTCCAAGAGGCCCCCAAGCCGCCAACCACGAGATCCCAACGAGCACTCCAGTGGCCTCTGGCCCACCACCCGGGCACGGTGGCGGGCGGGATGGGCCGAAGGCCAGTAGATATACTAAGCAGTCTTGGAGCTCTCTTGAGTCTCTCTTGGGCCGTCTAGTTTCGCAAGCTCCCTCGACGTCTCCAGAGCGAGAGCCCCATTTTGAACAGAGCGATGTCCAGAGCGAGAGCCCCATTTCGCTAGTTTCGAACATATCTAGAGCGAGAACCCAATTCTGAACAGAAGACGTCTTAAAGCAGCTCGTCCGAAGTCATACTTTGTGGCGACAGTTGCGCAGATCACAACACCCCCAGGGCACCGCGAGCTACCGAGGTGGTCCGCGTGGGACCCACCTCCGCTGGGCTTCCCAGGAGCCCACGAAAGTGGCGACAGTTGCGCAGATCGCAAGCCCCCCAGGGGGCGGCGAGGTACCGAGGCGATCCGCGTTGGACGTACCTCCGCTGGGCCTCCCAGGAGCCCACGAAAATGGCGACGGTTGCGCAGATCGCAGCCCCCAGGGCACCGCGAGGTCCCGAGGTGATCCGCGTGGGACGTACCTCCGCTGGGCCTCCCAAGAGAGCCCACGAAAGCGGCGACAGTTGCGCAGATCGCAAGCCCCCCAAGGGGCGGCGAGCTACCGAGGTGATCCGCGTGGGACCCACCTCCGCTGGGCCTCCCAGGAGCCCACGAAACTGGCGACGGTTGCACAGATCGCAGCCCCCAAGGCACCGCGAGGTCCTGAGGTGATCCGCGTGGACGTACCTCCGTTGGGCCTATCAGGAGCCCACGAAAGTGGCGACAGCTGCACAGATCGCAGCCCCCCAGGGGGCGGAGAGCTACCGAGGTGATCCGCGTGGGACCCACCTCAGCTGGGCCTCCCAGGAGCCCACGAAAGTGGAAACCCCAGGGGGCAGCGAGGTCTCGAGGTGATCCGCGTGGAACCTACCTCCGCTGGGCCTCCCAGGAGCCCACGAAAGTGGCGACGGTTGCGCAGATCGCAAGCCCCCCAGGGGGCGGCGAGCTACTGAAATGATCCGCGTGGGACCCACCTCCGCTGGGCCTCCCAGGAGCCCACGAAAGTGGCGACAGTTGCGCAGATCGCAAGCCCCCCAGGGGGCGGCGATTTACCGAGGTGATCCGCGTGGGACGTACCTCCGCTGGGCCTCCCAGGAGCCCACGAATGTGGCGACAGTTGCGCAGATCGCAGCCCCCAGGGCACCGCGAGGTCCCGAGGTGATCCGCGTGGGACGTACCTCCGCTGGGCCTCCCAGGAGCCCACGAAAGTGGCGACAGTTGCGCAGATCGCAGCCCCCAGGGCACCGCGAGGTCTCGAGGTGATCCGCGTGGGACCACCTCCGCTGGGCCTCCCAGGAGCCCACGAAAGTGGCGACAGTTGCGCAGATGCGACGAGGTGATCCGCGCCTGGGCCCCAGGAGCCCACGAAAGTGGCGACGGTTGCGCAGATCGCCCCCCAGGGGTCGGCGAGCTACCGAGGTGATCCGCGTGGGACGTACCTCCGCTGGGCCTCCCAGGAGCCCACGAAACTGGCGACGGTTGCACAGATCGCAGCCCCCAGGGCACCGCAAGGTCCCGAGGTGATCCGCGTGGGACGTACCTCCGTTGGGCCTACCAGGAGCCCACGAAAGTGGCGACGGTTGCGCAGATCGCAGCCCCCAGGGCACCGCGAGGTCCCGAGGTGATCCGCGTGGGACGTACCTCCGCTGGGCCTCCCAGGAGCCCACGAAAGTGGCGACGGTTGCGCAGATCGCAAGCCCCCCAATGGGTGGCGAGCTCCCGGTGTGATCTGCGTGGGACCCACCTC